TGGCTATGAGAACCACAATAGGCCTTTATAAGGTATATTACGCAGATGGGAGGTTTATAGTCAGTCAGCCCTTTGATTATTAATAAAAATTGCATTTGTTTTTATTGTGTAATATAACCATATTAACGTTTGCTGTTACTTAGTGGTTTCCAGAAGGTATTTGATTAGATAGGGGGCTTGTAATTGGACTTGAGTATCACTCTTCTGGGAATTTGAGTTAGAATTTCCTTGCACAGAAAGAGAAAAACAAAATGCAACGAAATGGTGAAGTGCCTTAAAGGTGAAGTTTATCGTGTATTTAATACAGAAAAGGAAGGGAAAGCTAGAACAAGGAATGATTTTTGAACAAGTACATGTGGTGATCTCAGGAAGAGAGTTTTGAATGGGAATTTGAAGTGGGCATATGGCTTAGTATGATCCAGAAAATCAATTTCTGGGGGGCTTCCATGAAAACTTGAATGGCATGGATTAGAAATGTGAAGATAGTTTTTCAGAAACGTTCTGGAGTAAAAGGAGACTGTATTTGAACTCAGCTGACATGTGCTGGCCTGTAGAGAGAGGGTAGTGGGAGCAGTAAAAGATAGTATCTCTCTTGTGGAATAGCAGAAGGAAAGGCTAATTGGAAAACTAAACCATGAGTGCTGCATAAAGAATAAATCCTCTGCTGCAGATTGAATTTTTAGGTGGAGAGAAAGCTAACGTGCATGTTAAAGTAAGGTAATTATTTAGAGTAATTGTCTCAAGTGATTTGGTTTTACTGTCTTCCATAGATTTATTTTAACAAATTCTACATGCACTCAACTTTATTGGGTCAGAAAGGTGATATTGCATTACTTTTTTATGTCAAAAGTATTGTTGTACTTAGGAGATTTAAAGACTGTATTGATCCTTTGATATCAATCTACAGATAATATAGTTTGTAACTGCAGCTATGCTCAGAAAGTAAATATCCAATCATCATAGTGGAATGATTAAATGCCGTATTCTACCTGTATTTCCTGGGTTTATACAAGCTGAACATAAGAGAGAGAATGTTTTTGTCCCAAGGTCATTGAAAAATGTCTTTATGTTAAGGATATTTATGTGTGCAAAAAGCTACTTAGAATTAACTTTCACGCCTTTTAATCCTTTTCTGCCCCCTCTTCGTAGCCCTTTTTTTTGGGCAGGAGGCTTTGTTTGTGGAGTTATATTTATCTCCAGAAGAAACTGCAGGTGACAGAGCAATCTGTTATCTGAGATCAGCTCTGTCAAGACGCTGTCTGCTGTAGCTGATACTACCATCTGATGAATCTCTGGGCCATGGGACGTGTTCCTGATTATTTTGTTTTACTATCAAAACTGTCACAAATTCTCCCATTCCTCTTCCAGGGGGGATGTTGGAGAGGCAGGGGCTTAGTCCTTTTGTTGAAGAAGTGAAGAAATGATCACTTGTAAAGATTTTGCTCTGTCCATTTCCATCCTATACCAGGCTAATACCAGGCTGTTCTTCAGAAAGTTGGTCTCTGTGGCCCTGCTTACCTGCAGCTTGAGAATGGAGCAAACACCAGATGTAATACAATTTTGCCTGCAGTTAAGGGAGTTGGTACTGAGGGACTGGTAAACTTGTCTTCGTGGTTATCAGATGTCTGATGTCCTGCAGTCTTCTCCAGTTCACTGCTGCTTTGTGCCAGTGCTATAAAACATCCTAGTTGCCACAACAGCTGACAGCAGTGAGAGAGTCAGCTTTAGCTATGGGTTTAAGTGAGGCGAAGGAAGTGGTCATGACTTGCTTGTGTACTTTGCCTATATGGTTGCTGACCACAAGGAGAGTGGGGAATGGAGACCATGTTGGTAACAGTGAGTGGCAACACTTTCCCTAACTGGGGCTGCTAATCTGGGGGACTGGCTTGAGTGCTTACTGAGTTTGAAGAAGCAAAGGTGGAGAGAGCAGCAGTCCCATACAGTTGAGAACCTGTAGGCTGACCAAATTCTGCCTTGAGTGTTCCCTTGTTTCTCATTTTGCCTGTGTTGCTGACAAGCACCCAACCAGGTACTTGTGTGAAACAAAGGGCAGTACAGCATTAGTACTCTGTCTTTTTGAAAAAAGTATGCACTGGATTTGGGGGCTTCCCTGTACCTCAGCAATCCTGAAGTGACAGAACAGTCCTTAGGCAGCTGCTGTAATTTAACTAACCTGATGTATTCCTTACTGTGGGCTTCAGGAACTATACTTTGTCCCAGAGACTACTTTGTTAGAACTTCACATCACTGATTGCTCCTACATTGGGCAGAGGTGTGGCAATCATCATTAGATCTTGAATATAGATAATTTATATACAGAATTATCTTAGGAAGATCTATGAATTTGTAGTTTTTATTTTATAGTCCGTTCCATTATATTTAAAATTGGGTGTTTTCTACTTTAAGATGTGTTGGACAGTCCTAAGTCATCATTGCAAAAACGTGCTTTCATCATTCTTCTGCTGAAATCAGTGGGATTAGATTTGCAGTTAGTGCTTGCAATTTGTTGAATACACGGTATTCCAGTTTTATGTGGGAATACTGTATTTCATAGTTTTTGTCTCCTAGTCTTAAAACTTCATGAGAACATTTATTAAATATGCAGTTATTATATGCAGAACAGAGGATAACATTATATTTCAAGAATTACAATTGATTTAATGTTACGTAGGGTCAGAAATAAAGCTGAAGTAGGAAGCTCTTAACTGGCAGTGCGGTTCAATTTCGGGGATTAGAAACTGGTACCAGCACAGAGATTGCCTGAACCATCTGGGAATTTTCTTCTGTCTTCCACCTCTGAATTTATAATTCTTTATAAAATGAAGATTTCTGAACCTTTCATTACTTCATAATCATATTTTTTCTCCTTTAATGAGTGTTCAAATAGTATTATTGGGAATTGCTTCATCAGCATTATTCCTCAGAGTTTATGATTTGAATATAGAATATTGGGCTGGGATTAAGATAGCGTGTGATTCTTCTTTCTTCTACTTTCATTATTTATTACTCAGTCTTTCACACCATGTTGTTAAATGAAGTCACAAAGATCACAGTGGAGAAGGAAAAAAAGGGAGGCATAAATACCAGGTCAAACACGGAACTCTTACTTGTATTCAGTTTTCATTTCTGTATATGTAGATTTCCGTAGCACATGATTTTACCTTACATCCTTGTATTTTAGTTCTTATATATATATTATTGTTATAAAAGAATTAATTCCTCGAAAGATATAACTGTCATTCAAGTTCTTTTGCAATTGTATGCAAATGATACAACCTGTATTTACAAAGCAAACTGAAAGATAGAGCTGATTCTTTTTTTCTAGGTCTTTCTGTTCTATTGCTTTCATTGTATTACTGCAAAAGGAAAATCAGTTATAAACTAGATATAAATATAAGAACATATAGTGCAATAAAGAAATGCAATCAAGAATGCAGTTTAGCACAACTGAGAAAAAAATTGTCTCAGGCCTCTTGTTTTAAAAACTACATTAGATACTGAATCACAGTTTGATTCTTCTACACATCAGCAGTTTAAATATCTGCATATGGTGACCTTCATTTTGAACTGCTACCTCCTGAATAGATAACAAAAGTTAACATCCGTTTTAACGGAATTGGTGAGAGAATCCAGACTGTAAGAAAAAAGGCTGTACGGTAAAAACTAGTTAAAAAGTGTACAAAGAGAGTTGGAAATACTAATTTGCAGTTTGTAAAGTTTTAGCTGTAGGAAAATTATAATCTACTGTTGATTAGTAATTACATCCTACAACAAATTTGAGTCAATTTGAAGAGGCTCTTGTCTATTGGTCAAATTTCCTGATTGAATATCCTTCATAATATCATCAGCACTAGCTGGGACAGAAATCTTACAGGTATGAAAGCTGCATTTGGTGAACCAGATAGGCCTTACATCCTCAGCTGAGCCCACAGGACTTGTGATACACTCTCTTCACTGTGAGAGCCACTTGTTTCATGTCTTCCAAAAATATCAGCTTGTAAAATTAGGATCCTTATTGTGAAAATTGTTTCATCTGTCAAATCACGGTCTTAAAAATGAAAAAGTATTTCTAATGTTTTCAAATTTTAGAGTGAATAGTTTTATGAGCTATCTAATGAAATATGGGAGGTTTAAAACTGCCTTTTGCTGAGAGAAACTGCTGCTTATTCACTTGTTTAAACAAGCAGTTAAACATGTTTGCTGTCAATGCTGTTTTCAGAAACTGTGGAAATGAAATGTCTTACTGCACTTTTCTGTCTCTTAGGTTTGACTCGGATACAACAGAGCTCCATAGCTGGATGACCCGCTCAGAAGCAGTGCTTCAGAGTCCCGAGTTTGCAATATATCGAAAGGAAGGCAATCTCTCAGATCTCAGAGAAAGAGTCAATGTAGGAGAAAGTACTCGTATATATGTTTGTTAGTTTGTATTAGCTTGTCAAAGTGCTTTCAAAGTCCAAGTTTAAATGAGTTCAAATGTAGACTGACAAGCACTGATTATCCATATGTACACAAGAAATTTAGAAGTGCTCAGTTTCTGTAAATTTCAGATTTTGCAACCAAAATTGCTACACAGGCTGTCTGAATACAGAGATCTTTTTTTTTTTTTTATTCATACATACTCATATTTAATTAAGGTATTCTAGATTCATGAAAGTCTTTGGTAAAGTTGAATCAAAGCCTATGTATTACTTCTTAAATATGCACCAGCATTCTATACTAACAGCTTAATTTGACATTATACATGCATAAATTGAAGGATGTGTAAAGTGTCATCTTTTAGTGTATGCTAAAGAAAATCTGTATCTAATTCTTTTTACAGTGCTGTAAAATGTATATGAAAATTACCAGTCTCCACTTTTTTTTTTTTTTTTTTACTCTGTTGTAGTACCACGCCTGAACCAAAACCAGTTGTTTCCTACTTTTGGCAGAATGTATGATTCTGCACTGGTTAAGGAGTAGCCATGTTTGTGTATATGTTTCCCATACTCTGAATTTAGCCCTTGAAAACTAAACTAATACAAATTTTCTTCCATATTTAATTTTTGTAGATAGATGCAAAAATGCCTGTCTTTTCTGAGTAAAGGAGAGTTCTTTGTATAATTACCTCTTACAGTATCATAGTATATCATGAAACTTCTTTAAAATATATGGTGATACATATTCCTAGAACATAAACAGATGGAACAAAGTTACTGTATTGAAGTTAGTTTTGCTGCTGTTTTTTCTCACTGTCTGCTTGTCCATCATAAATCAGCTATGATAAGATTGAGGAACACTGAATTTCGTAACTGTAAATATACATTTTAAAATTTCATGTTAAATTATATTTTTCTTGCAATAATTTTAATTTAATTGTTAATGTTGCCATAATATTACTGCTAGTAAGTATCCATTAGAATGGAATATCCTGATTTTAGTTCTTGGCACCACTTCATGTTATGTGAAATATACGTTTTTATATATATATACAAATATATATATAAAAACAATATGCAAATGGATCAAACATACAAAGAAGATTTGATGGGTTCAGATGCTTCCATATTGGGGTGATGGGATTCATCTAATAAATAGGTAGACAGTTAATTTTCCAAGTGCCTCAGTCTTCATTGTAGGTAAAATTAAAAAAGAAACAAAGAGGAGAAATAAAAAGAAGAAAATGCTCCTGTCTCCCCTTCATGTATTCCCATTTTGAGGAAGATAACAATTTCAAGGACGGCAAATTAGCTTGTCTTGACCTACATATTATGCTGGATACTTGCACTGCCGGGTTTCCCTAACCAATATGATGTTCCACCTCATATTGTCAGTTTGTAAGACTTTATAAAAGCATTAAAGGGTCCAGGAGCCACGGTTCACCTTCCTCCTTCTTTCTTTTCTTTGCTTCCGAGGAGGTGGTGATCGCTGCAAGTAAAGGGGTGGAGGTAGGTGAACCACAGACCCTCCTCTGCTCCCAGCTGGAGTTCCCAGCAGCTCTTGCCTTGCCTTTGTGCTGAGGAAGAACATTGGGGCTGGGAGGCCACTACTTAGCACATTTGTTCAGATCTCATTTAGGCTGCTGAAAACATACATGATACTGTAGGAAGAGGGAGGGAGGGAAAAGGCGTGTGGAATTTGAACACTGCATGGGCATCATAAGTTTGAATTCACAACACTGCAGGTAGCAGGAGATATTTCAGATGTTTCTTTGACCTCCTTGGGAATTGATTAACTGGATGGTTAATAAACCAATTTCCTGATTCTTTAATGAAAAGTAGTGCAGAAAAAGGATCTGCTTTGTATCAAGAGCTTTGTATCAAAGGGTCTGAGACAAACTAGTAACTCTAAATAGAAATAAGAGAAATGAACATGTATCTTTCGTTAACACTGAAAATATTTTTAAGGACTAAGACTGGTTTTGATTTCATAGAGTATCACTGCTTTTAAAAGGAACATTTTATTGATAAAATCAAGTTACATGTAGAAGTTTCTACATGTTTTAAGGGAGAAAACATTCTGATTGTATGGAGTAATTTGATAGAACTCTGGAAGATGGCACTTGACAAGTACCACATGGATTCTGTGTTGAACGATTTCAAGTTAATGGAAGTCTTTGTACACACTTTTCAAAAAAGAAAAAAAAAAAAAAAAACAAAACAGGTTTTGAAAATGCCAGGTTTTAAAGCTTGTTCTGACCTGACTTTTTCTGGTCTGGTGTCTGTCTCCATTCATAAAACTGGTAGCCAAAGCAGGAAGTACTGTCCAGTTCATTGATCTGAGCAGTTTCATTGTTGCCTGTTAACACTTTTTGTTTCTAATTGCCTCAAAATGAGCCTCAAATCGATGGACAATAAGATAGTGTGGGTTTTAATATATTATAATCTCTAGTAAAGTTGTAGAAGACCTATAAAAAAGATGAAGTGCCAAAAAGGAAAACATATGTTAGTGGTAACTGAAAGAGATTGTATTGTACTGACTTACATAGTCATACCCCAGTGTTGTACATGTGACCATGTACACATGCATGCAAAAGTCCCATCTTGCCCTTACCGGCTGTCATTTAGTTTTCTCCCTATATGACAACATACATATTGGTGTAGCACAGAACACCTGTGCTTGGCTGATGTCAGACCTACCATTTATTGCCCACCACAGTAGGTGCTGAGTCCTAGGGCCTTTTCCTAATGACTTTCTTTTCTGCTGTTCTTTTGAGGACAGATTACTAGTTGGATGATTTTTTTTTTTTTTTTTTTTTTTTTTTCTTGTTGTAGCAGCTTGCTCCTACTCATAATTTTTCTTGGATGAGGGGTCACTTCCATATGATGTAGTGGAAGTGCATCTGCTGTATGGTGGAGGGACGCAGACTTCAGAAACGACAGCCACAAGGAAAGCTCTTTTGCCATCATTGATGGTTCATCAACTTCAGAAGCCTGCTCCCATCCCAGCTCAGAGGAGGCCTGGGGGAGACGGAGCCAAGAGCAGGCTGTAGGAAATGCATATGACTGTTTGCTAAGCCAGCTGCTCTTCAGATACTGGCAGGAAATTAGCCTTTGGCAGATGTATTACATAGATTTAATATATTAGATATGCACAAAAAGTCCATTCCTATGTCTGGGGAGAAGCAAAAATATTTATAGTCCTTCCCTGCTACAAGAGAAAGATATTTGCCTTAGCTGGCCAGAGAGACTGGATGCCATAAGTATAGAAGTTTCATTGTGGAATAACCATACTAATCCTAAATAACGAAGACATCCAAACATTAATGCTGTAAACATCATTACGCTGCATCACACTGTTAAGATGTTCCAGTAAGCACTATATTTTATTAAAAACGGACCTAACAATGACTCAGGCCTTTTTTGTTTTTCTTAATCCAATATTGCAAGCTCAAATATATGAAGGTCAGGTGCAAAAAATTAAAACTTGCTAGATAGAAAATTCTGCTTAATAATAAGTCGGATTTGAGACCATACATCAATAAACTGGGAATAAAACTCCTTGAAAGGAGTTTTCGTTAGCCAAGAAGCAGCACATAGAAATTCAGAATCAAAGGTAAACATAGAAGGAACAGATGTAAGGGAAAATGTCAGGTATCCTAGACAATTAAATTTGTTCTCTTGGCATTCTCAAAAGCCCTGTTCTCGTTTGTTCGTTTTGTTTCAGTGACCTTTTTCAGACATGCTTTGTTGGGCCTGGATATTTGAAAGCTGAATCACTGTCAGAGCCAGTGATGATAATGTTGCCATCTCCTGCCCTCAGGGGTAATTGGTCAGAGTCACAGGAGGTCAGGGAGTACTGCTACCATGCATTTTTTCAGAGAGCTCTCAAAGTAGGATGCTGATTTGATATGAAAAACATCCAAATTCCTCAGACCATCAGTGTTTTCTAGGTTACGAAGTCATTAACTGCCAACTAAAATCTCGGGGTCAAATAAAATGCTCAGCATTGTGAAAATAGCCTCTTCACCTTCAGCTGGCATTTAACCAAAGATGAATTTTTAGTGTTATTCAATCAGTTAAAACTAAGCTATTATACATTTGCATTGCCAGTTACAAAATGGTCCAAAAGAGAATTAATACCCGATTGGATGAAAGCCTGTAAAGGTAACTTCTTTCCTCATGTTGGTGTATATTTTTCTCAAAAATCATTTATAGAAAACAAAAAGAGTTGAAAAAGGGGAAGTTATATATTTGGAAATATATTGAAGTGACTTTGCACCTACCACAACTTTTCATCAAAAGAAGTGTTGATTACAGTGTACAGAATCCAAGAGTTTCAAAACTTCACAAACCTCTTCAAACTCCTCCCAGCCTACTCGTGTCACGAATGAACCTGAATCTAGAGTCTTACCCCTTTTAGTAAAGGAAAAAAATGAACAAAACAGAGCCAGGGAGATAAATAAGAGTGATTACAGGACTCTTGCTCCCTTTGTTTCGAGACACTTCACATGTGCTTATGGAATTCCTTCTTCTGAGTGGCTTAAAAATCCAAGACACAGTTTGCAGGTTTGGCAAAAAATGGAGAGTATGAGGAGCAAGAGGACAGTCTTTTCTCGTTTGGCTAGCATTGTGCTTTCTGTGTGTAAGCATAAGTCTTCCTGTAACCAGTGTTAGACCTTCAGTTTTATAATTTATACTAATTACACAAAAATACATGGAGAAAAATAATTGACAGAAAGTTTGATATGTACCAAAGTTTCATGTTTATTCTAAGGGATTCGCATATAGTGCTTATATTTTCTATCAGGTCCTGGAAACGGTCTTTCAGGAGAGAGGTGGACATTTATCCACATTTTTCTGGACACAGTGTATTACTGGACACTGAAGATTTCACTGCCATAAGCTTCAATGTCGTATCATTTTTGTATTTCAAAAAGCTAAATTTTAGTATATTTTAGGTGGGGGGGTTTATGATTCGTTTGTGCTCACTACAGTTGCACTCATGATAATTACACATCTGGCATTACAGATGGAGTAAAATTATTTTCAGTATATTTTAGTGTTTTTATGATTCCTTTGAGTTCTCTGCAGTTAGACTAATGCTAATTATACAGAGCATTGTAGACAGAGTAGTATTAATTAAGATTCTATAAAAAAATTTTGGAACTCTGCAGGGAATTAATAGATTTTTTTAAAAAATTTGGAAAATATTTAAATTGTAAAGTGGAATGGTAGAAGATTTTATTAACCTACAAAAACTATAAATAATTAATACAATCATCTTTAACTCATTGGAATTAAACTTTGTAATCTTTCAGTGATAATTTAGGTCTATATTAAAGATATGTTTATAAAATAAAAAATACTTCCATCCTTAATTCTTCTCTAAATATCCTTTCTTTATATATTTTATTTATACACAGTGGTATTATTGAAAGTGTTTGATAGAAGCTTTGGCATATTGTTAGAAAGCCTGCTGTTTAATCATTTCTATATACACAAATGAATGGCAGTTATAAGTAGGCTGTGGAAATGTGTGAATTTAACTGAAAATCTCTCTTCAAAGTTCTGAGTGTCTTCCCACCTAGGAAAGTCTTCCAGGGAGCTGCTGCTTATTAAACTGAAGATGTTTTAAGCATCGCACTTTTAAAAATTATTTTAAGAGAGTTTATTCAAAAGTTTTTATATTACTTCCTCCTAAGCATAGCAATCTATTTGAAAAATAACATTTTCAAATGTGGGTGTATAAGATTATTCTTCTAAATACATTCTTAGACACCCAAGAAACCTACTTGAGGTTTATTTCCAGTTGCAAGGAACCTTTCCACACGAAGAGTCAAGTCACACAGAATACACCTTTGCTGTGGAAATAAACAAGGTGATCAGGAAGCCTCGTGGGGTCAGCTAGACTGAGAAGCTGTAGCCAGGGTTATCTTCCCATACAGGTCATGTAGGATTTGCAGTGGCATATCCTTTTGTATGGTGCATCTGCTGTGGTAAAGTGAGGGGCTCTGATTTATAGGAGGCTGTGTTGGTCAGGACCTCGGGAGATACATGGGTCTGTTTTATTTTTGGTATCAAACTTGGCTGTGGCCCTTTGCTGCTTCTTTGGGCTTCTGATTTGGAGCTTCTAAATTACACCTAAATTATACAACTAAATTAATTTAAAATCAATTGAATGACTTCATGATGTTAATTATGAGACAGCATTGAGGGGCTGTCAGATCTAAAATAATTTTACTTTCCAGCTGTATTGCTACCAACTCGAAATGAGAAACTTAGGTTCCTGCTATATCCTGAAATTTTAGCAGCTAGTCTTTACCAGCCATTACCCGCTAGCTTGAGTGCTAGCCTAGACAGGAGTGAGAAATTTTTGAGTACAGAAAGGTGAATTGAGAGTATTAGATACAATACAGATCTAGAAGCCTGTGTTAATTCTGCAGTTAATTCTCATTCTTACTTAGTAGTTCATATATGGATGTCTGCTATGTATGTTCATATATAGGTTAAATATCTACTTTAGTATGCATTTTACAGGGTTTTTTTCCATCAAAACAGTAAAGTAAGGAATCAAATGGTATATGGGTTCAATACTATAGTGTGTTATGAAACCCTGTGATTTGGTTGGCGTGCTCAATTCTTGTCGTTATCAATAGGAACCACATGAGAAATGAGCAAATCTATTCCTCCACAAGGAGGAACACAAGGAATTTCTGTTGAACATATATTTTTGTTCTGAAATATTGGGCTTTGAATAGCTCTTAATTTGTATGTCTTTTATTTGTCTGTAAAATACTAGCGTGTATCATTTGTCAACTCGGTTGTGTTCTGATTCTCATTTTATGTATTTGACTTTACGACTGACTCCCTTCCTGATGGTATGTGGTACTTGCTGCTTTCACTGCAAACTGGGAGGCTGGCAGGGCAATGTGACAGGTTAAATGGTCTCGAGAAGTCACAAGACATCCCTGAGATTAATTACTTTCTTCTTCAAAAATCCCTCTGTTGAAATACTCACCTTTCCTGTCATGCTGCAGGCCATCCAGCGAGAAAAGCCTGAGAAGTACAGAAAACTGCAAGATGCCAGCAGATCAGCTGAGGCCCTGGTGGAACAGATGGTGAATGGTAATTACATGGGAGTTGATTTAGATAATCTTCTTAGGGATTTGATAAATGCACAGGTTCATATTTATCACAAGAATTATATTAGCAAATACTGTCTAAATGGAACAGTAAAGTAATATTACCTTATATTTCTTTTATTATTTCTGAATGTTAAATCTGTTAATTAGAAAAGAGAAAAAAATCCTACCACTTTAGTACCATGAAAAGAAATGTGTGTAAAACGTGCTCACAGTAATGAACTGTATATTAACAATCTGTTCTGCGCAGAGACTTAAGTTGTAATCTTATTTTCTGAGTATTCTAAGCTTTTGAAGGCACATTAACTCATCTGAGTTAGAAAGCTCTGAACAGTTGGAAAAAAGTGCTTCCTGACTTACAATATACAATGTATGTTTTGTAATATACATATTGCTGTAATGTTCTGTATCATAGAAAATATAAGATTTTATTGGGTTTTGGAAGAGATTTTTGGCATTTGGCTTTTCAAAGATAATAAATGTCAAAGCTTATACAACTCATAAAAAAGAAAATTAGTTGTAAGGTTTTTATTTTTATTATTGATTTTTCAAAAAAAAAAAATTCTGTTGTGTCATTCTTTTGAACTTTTCAATATTTTTAAGGGAAAAAGGAAAACAAAAGAAAGGTAGATGGAAGTAAAGTTGTAAGTCATGCCATTGTCCTTGATACTAAAGAATGTCTAACTTTGCAATAACATATTAAACATGGGCCAACATTTGTCATACTGATATGATTACCAGAAATATAGATGTTGAATGCACTGAGCTTCAGAACATATATTTTATATGAAATTGTTATAATGAAGAACCAATAATTTAATTGCTAAAAATGAAATGCTTTGAGTTCGAGGTACTAACTGGCCAAGCTCAACAAATTTGGTGGAATCTTAATATTATCTTGCCTAAGTGTGAAGGTGTGATATTTTAAAAGTGAGCATATTTAATGTGTGGGGCATATTTAATTATCATTACTGTAGCAACTGTTGCAAGGGTTCCCTTCCTAGGCTCAGTGAATAGACTGAAGGGAGTCTGGTAACATTTGCACCCTCTTCGAAATCATTTGGGCAGTTTTCCATGGCTGATCATATAAAAAAATCTGTCAGTTTTTTTGGACACATTTGCTGCCTGGGAGAACTGGTTGTACAGGACTTTTAAGGCAGTATTTGAAATTTGCGTGCTGCCATATCAAGGTGGTTATTTTGGGTGAAATCTGTCTAGGACACATTTGGCAGTGCCCCACTCTTCCTTTGGCCAAATGCAGACTTGCACCTCAATTCCAGCTTCAATTTTTTTAGATTATATAGTACTTTCTGGTAACTAATTTTGGTTTTAGTTGCAGAACTCCCAAGCACATTATATATTATTTTTCCAGTACTGTACTACCTACCATGTCTAGTATCAAGTAGATTCTATCTTAAACTTTCTCATGTGGTTTTAACTCAAGGTTCTCTTTTTTTCTCCCTCCGTCCGTGGTTCTGTGCTTATTCATGGTTTATAGATGTTGTGATCTAGACTGTGGCTAGGTGTGCATGTAAATATCTCCAATATCTCCCAAATCACACCTTTTTTTAGGAAGCACGCCTTCCAGTTGGGGTGCAAGCACAGGGTAGACTAGCTAAGCCAGCATGACTTTATCTGTTTCCTATCAACTGCTCTGAGCTCTGCATCATGCCGTATGTCGTGGTAGCCTTGGTAGCCAGAACAGTCTAGCAAGGATGACGGGTTAGTTGCCTGTGAGAATGAAGGCCCTTTTTTGTCAGGTAGGAATGGTAGAGAGTAGGATTAAAGAATTAACATTAGTTGAGGAGAACAGTAAAATGATTCTAACAAAGAATTTGCAAATGGAGTATCTTAATTGTTCAGAATTACACTTTGAGCGCAGAGGAGGTTAACTGCCCAGTTCAGACTTTGTACTTTTAAATGCAACAAATTTTCTGTTTGCGGAATGCAATTTCTGTTTCTAATGCAATTGCAATTAACAGGATTATCTTTAAATTGATATTGAAGCAAAAGTTATGTAAAAAAAGTAACTCAACTTTAAACTTACATCTCCAAACTGTAATAAACTTAAGCAGCTTTATATTTTCTACAGTGATTAAACTGAGTTTCTTTAGTCTTTTTGTGGCTTGTGGAAATTAATTTGGGACATACAGTCTTCATCTCTGTTATTTTTTTTTGTTGATTTCTGGATTCACTAAGAACAAGAGGAAAGGGTATCGGATAGGAGAATTTTGCTGAATCTCCAAAATAAAGTTCAACAGAGCAGAGTGTGCCTACATACCTTCCTCTTCTAATGCTGGAACTCTTTTCCATAACATGGGAAGGAACTGGAATTTAATGTGCCTTTATGGATTTGTGGGAGACACACAGTTTAACATCTAGTGGAGGGAAGATGTACTATGTTATCTTGAATGAAAAACCTATTTCACTCTCACAATTTACAAATCACACATTATGATGCTTCCATCGTTATTCTGTGTGGTACTTCCTTTAGGGAAACCAGTCAGTGATACAATCGATGATTGTCATGCATTTGCAGTGTAATCTGTAATTAAAAGACTACATGAGGCAAACAGATTTAAGGAATAGATAAGCTGTGAAGTCAAGTGATGACAATTTTAACTGCATTGTTATTTTTTACTTATTGTGTATCAATTAGATCTGAACTAATAATGATTAGACTCTTAAGATTCCAATTATGCTATCACTAAATTCTTGGCTTTACTTATACATAAGATGTGCTTCCTCTTTGCTCGTAAACAAGATTCTGAATGTAACGGACAAAGAGCATAAAAAGATGAAGACTGATGGTGGATGATAAAAGAGAGTTCAGAATGGTGGTGAATTTCATTGTTGTATCATTTATATTTATTTTTTTGCTTTTATTTTCACTGTGATAGGAGGGGGAATAAGTAAAAAATAGGATTCAAATTCTGAAGAGAATTGGATTGGATAGGATTTTTTAGGGTTTCATTTACTTGTTCCTTAGCACAGAGGAAAATATTCTAAGGAAGTGTATTTATACAGGGCACTATTCTTGCCTTACATATATGCTTTCAGCCATTGTCACCAAAAGTATTTTGCACTGAAAGAACTGCCATCTCACACAATGCAGCTATTCTTGTGTTTGTAAGCAGTATGTCTGGATATTGCCATTTGAAGGACTTTTCCCATCACAGGGGAAATCATTGATGCTTTTGGTGGATGATTCTTTACCCAGCCACCCATCTTCTACATGGGCTGTGCTCTGCCACTCCTTGCCTTGTGCTTTTGCAGAAGCTTGATGATTACAATCAATGAAAACTTAAATCTTCTGTTTTCTAGTGTTTCTGGGAAAAAAATCTATTCTGTTTTTCTTTTCTAAATTCTATTCTAAAATAGAATAACAAATCTGTTGATGCATGAGTGAAGCAGTTTAGCTGTTTGAGTGGACACCTGACTATTATAGTAGTTTAGAATAAAATAAATAGGGCATCAAAATGAATGCTCAAGAGAATTTTGATAGGCAGCATTAAAGTGAATACAAATGAATTTGGTGTGATAAAACATGTAATTGCTAAGTGCCACTGTTCTGCAGAAGAAATATATTATCTTGTGCGTTACCATTTCACATATGCTTATGAGTCAAAAGGTATAAAAACACAGATAATATTACATTATTCTGTCATAGAACCATAGCAAATTATAAATGCACTTGATAAGATATACTTCATATTAAGTGGCAATTCCAAAGTACTTGCATGTAAGCTGCTGCACAATTAAAAATATTCAGACACAATTTGTTATGTGCAGTACACAAGGTAATAAAATTAATGGATGCACTTCAGATAATGATCTGTTTCCTCTGGGTACAGTATATTTATTCACTGATTATGTCAGCTTTTAGAATATGAAACGTGAAAACATTATGAACCGTTATTTCAAAAATAATATTGTTTTACCAGAGAATGGGTTTTATATTGTTTCTTGTCAACTTCTGATATGAGTGAAGCAGAGTAAAAGGATTGATGTTAACATCATGAATGAAAGCTGCTCGTTGCTAAAGTTGCTAAAGATAATGAAGAAATCAGTACTTATCATGGAAGTTTCAAATTCTTGATTTTCACCAATTTAATGAGCAAATGAAAACATTAAAAGTATGCCCTCATTGCATCAATTACTCAAATAGTTATTAATTTGTCATTTTCGATGAGATGGAGGACTAGCTTTCTTCAAAATAAGACAAAATTCTGACAAATTTGCCCCAATTCAAGTGCAAGTAATGGCCATTTTCTTGCATCTTTCTGGAAATTACATACTGACACCTGATAGACAACTGAGTTACCTCAGCGGACTGTGAATTAAAAGAGTTTTAAAAATGCATCCTATGGAGATTTTCAGATGGGTCTTCCTTTCAGCA